AGTTAAAACTCACATTCTAACGGCACCCATTTGCTGCAGAAGATTCACTGGTGAGCAAATGATTTAATGCTAAATTTCTCCTAATCTGTTCTGATGAAGAAACAAACTCATTTACATCTTAGATGGCCTGAGGTAAATTTTAATTTTTTGGGCAAAAAATTCAGTGCACTTTAATAACTTTTCTACAATCTTTCCAGTATTTTTTTAAGCATTTCATAAAGATAAATCCAGATTTACATTTGTTTGTCTGTACCCAAATGTTTGTAGTGTACAGGTTTTTTTCTAGAGTACCAAAGGTCCCTCAGTGGACAGACTGATGATATCAAGCTGACTTGTGGACCAGTTTTACTCTACTTTTTAAGATCTTAATAATTTCCATGATGTTTCCAGAACTTCAAGTGAGCTTATCTACAATTAGTTTTCTTAATGAAGGCCAGTGAGTCTCTTGATCTTATAATGGAATAAGTGGAAATATCTGTTCATAAAATCAGTCGTCGGCAATCAGATCTGCTTATTTCAAAATCACATTTCGGCACAGCATGACTTTGAGATTCCAAACAGAGTATCTCACTGTCCATACTGATCAACCTTTCTGCTGCTCAACTAATTTTTAAGTGGAGCAACGTATGGCACAAGAGAAAAAAAGTGTAGGAAGCGTCTTAAGGAGGTGTTTTTGACTCCTTAATGGATGGAGAAGGAGGGAGAGTGGCTAAAAAGATGGCGGAGGCTTCAGGCCAGGCAGATTGGAGATTGTTTCCGGATGGGAATATCTTGATACTTTTATTAGACTCCAGGGCATGTGCAATAACACTGATGACACAAATCCATTCTCCTTACTGTTGCATCTTCATGAACTTAGCTTCTTAACAAGGCTCTTGTAAATCATAACTTTGTTTGGGCCAATATATTAATTTTAGGGCATCTGGTTGACCTCACTTAAAGGGGTCATTGGATGCCCATTTTCCACAAGTTGATATGATTCTTTAGGGTCTTAATTAAAAGTCTGTAACATAGATTGGTTAAAATTTCTCAATGGTAGTATAAAAAACCCCTTTTTTACCCTGTCAAAAACACCTCTTTTCAGAGCAAGCCGTTTTGTAGCATTTTCCTTTAAATGTTAATGAGCTCTGCTGACCCCACCCCTCTCTTCCAAGGCCACTCTCTGAGGGACTGTTTACTTTAGCCGCTGAATGATTCGCGCGAACATAGACGCATTTAGGTAGATCGGGGGCGCATTCCCTTCACAAACCAACGTAATCCACTGCGTCTTCAGCGGCTCAGATGTCGGGAGTAAATGACGACTGCTATGTTCATTATTACATCCAACAACAGAACACCTCAATCGCTTAGGAGTCATTCTTGTCTACATCTGCTCCGGCGGTGAAACAATGGCGGACTGATGACAGCTCACTCAGGGCGG